TTGTTGGCCTAACATTCTCTTTGTATGTCATTTGTAGAAGCTGTTGCACATGCCAGAAAATAAGACATCCAAGAAAATTTTGCTAGTCCAGATTTTCCAAACACCTGCCCACTATATCGGACCATGGATCGACCTCTGAACTTGCCCTGACTAATGTTCTCCTGTCATTGCCCCTGCTCAGCAGGAAGCAGTTAAGATCAGGCTTTGTCCCAGTTCCTAATGGCAGTTAGGAATCATGTGTTCAGAGGGTGGGAATATGATAGGAAAAGGATAGGATTCAGTAGGCAGAGGGAAAGATTAGGACCTGAGGTCCCTGAGTGGGAAAAAACACATTTTGTAACAAGGCTGGGAGGGTCTTCATAGCAAACCCCCTCAGGCTTAAGGTCTCTCTTTTGAATACAACAGACACCACCTACTCCCCCTTAAGTTCCCCTTAGGAATTTGACAAAAGACCTGACAGAATTGAACACAAAACCTATGACCCACAAGGAAGTGGTGTGGCCTTAGACTACCCCTCATACAATGGAAATGAACTAATCAGGAATGGACCCAGCACCTAGAGTTATCCAGCTAGTAAGGTAGAACCTGAGAAGGAACAAGGGGGAAGGGGAGAGAAGGCTAATCAGAACCTTATAAAACAAAGCCCTTTGCCTATAGTCACTTTCGAGTGTCCCCTCTCTGTAAAAAGATCTTTCATACTATTCTTCCTTTCTCATCTTATACTCTAATAAAGTTTTGTCTGCTGCTAAAAAAAAATATTTAAACTTACAGAAATTTCATATTTTTAATAGTTTTGCCCTCATTCTTAATGTTGAATGTCTCCTAAATTTTTAATTTCTTATAAAAATAATAAATATTATCCCGCAAATGAATTTTATATATTTTCACAGTTGAACTGAATAAAAAAGTTAAGTATGTTCACCTATTGTGCAAATTCAACTCATTTGAAAATAAATATGATGGTTTTCAGGTGTAAATCAATTTACATATACTAATGTAATATAGTATATTACAATATAGCATGGAAGTATAGTACAATACATATAATAGAAATATATAATATAATATATAATATATTTTGATTACATATATTCAGCAGATACACGGATAAATAATAATGCTTTAAATAAAATATTAAGCTTGTCCTCAGCTGCATCTCAGGTTAACAGCAGCATGGCTCAATATAATGCTAGAAAAATGTAGGAAGAGCAACTGACCAGGAGAGAACAAAGTAGAAATGGATTTAGTGAAATTTAACTATTAGAGCTAGATTCTAGTAGTGTTGTTCACCTTAAAATCTTTACCATTGGTTATTTTCTCAAAGTTTTTATGGATAAGCATGAAAAAGTCTAATGCCAATCAACCTTCTAGCCAAATATAAATGGAAAGAGATAGGCAGTAAATCTATTTTGAGAATCACAACATCTGCAGTTGAGAGCTAATTTTCAAAGGTGAAGAATTCCAAATTGTAGTCCCCAATTTAACAAGTGTCTACACCCTACTTGTTTCTGTTTATCTATGAACAAGCTTGTTAAATAATGATATGTAACTATAAACAGGATTCCAAAACTCAAGAAGGTCATATTTTTTTTTAAAAATACTTATCAAAATCACTAAATATATAAGTAAAAGCCTATTTCTAGAAAAGAATGATGTTATTTTACTTCCAAAATTTTGATTTAAAACGTATAATCCCTCTAGGCTAAGAAACAAAATAAAAGCATAATTAATATTTATTTCCATTTAATGGTGCAATGTTATGACCAAATGTATCTGAAAAGCCACAGGGGTGACTGGGGGGCTGTTGGTTGTCTGACTCTTGATTTTGGCTGAGATCATGATCCCACGGTCATGGAATCGAGCCCCGCATCAGACTCTATGCTGACAGCACTGAGCCAGTTTGAGATTCTCTCTCTTCTTCACACTCTGCCCCTCACACTTTCTGTCTCTCTCTCAAAATAAATGAATAAAACTTTTTTTAAATTTTTAAAAAAATAATCATAGAAATTTTTATAAAGGAAAGTCACATAAAGGAAAGCAATAACATATATTTGTAAGTGTGTGCCCCGTCTAAAACTCTCTTACCCCTCACTCTCACGAGACATTTTCCCTGCCATAATGTTAAATTTTTGTTAGACTAATTATTGGCAGAAAAACTGCAAAGAGAATGTAAACTAAGTATTTTCAAATGCCCTAGGACCTCCTACAGTCTTCCAGTGTTACATTTTCCCAAATATATTCTTATCAAACAATAAGCTTAAAGTCAACATATTACAGTGACCAAAAGTTAACCAATAATTAACCAAGTGATTATTTTCTTTCCCAAATGCTAGGCATGATGATAATTACTACAACTACCTAAAGTACTCAGAACAAACATTAGGCAAACAATTTGATAGCTTGGTATCAGAACCCACAAGGCAGACACTACCATTTTTTCAAATCTGATGAGGAATCGGAAGTACACAGTTGTTAAGCAACTTACTTGCTCGAAGTTAGCTACACACCTGGTGAGAAATAATCACACTTCAGAGCATGTTGCTTTACCAAATGGTATCTCTATTTTCCTAATCACTCCACTTAGGCATCTTGCTGTTTCCCTTAATACCTTGCCTTCCACAAAGCTCCTATCCACTCCACTGGCAGGTTCTATCAGTCCTTCCCTGAAAACACAACTCCAGTTTGTCTACTTGTCTTCATTTGCTTTATCATCACCCTGGTCCAGTCCTTTTATTCTCTAATTATGAAAACTATAGTACAAGTTCTTGTTTGGAAAACTGTGATTGTCTACATTTTCACAATTTCTTCTTAAGTTTGTTATAACCCTCAATTAACCTATTTTCGAAAACATAAATGTCATTGTGTTACACTGCTTTTGAAACTCTTTCCAAGTTTCACTTTGCGCTTCAAATTCAATCTAATAAAATTCTTAACAAGACCACCAAGCCCCAGAATTATTTTGGCTCTTGATTATCTCTCCAATCTCCCCCACTCCATTGCTATCCACCGTCTCTCGACTGATTCAAGAGTCACATCAGCCTTCCTTCAGCCCTTACAGTTTAGGAGGCTAATTCTCCTTCCCTATATTTTAAATCCAGTTTAAATGTTACTTCCTCAGAGAGGTGTTCCTGACCATCTAGCTGGATACTTTCCCCCCATTATTCTCTAAATATGTTTGAGTCTTTCAGAGCTTTGACATATACTCCATATATTCCATATCTACAATTCATGTGTCTTTGACCACTGATAATAATACTTAAAACTGTTTCATAAGAAAATCATTAGAAAATGTTCCAAATGTAACTTCTATTTGATTTTGAGATTGAAGGCATTTATAAGTTTGGAATCTAAACAAAATCATTAATTTTCAAACATCAAAAATATTTTTTGAAAGAATACACAAGAAGCCACATGTGTGATTCTCTTCCTTTTAATCAATATGCATGTGTAAGTGCGGCAAACACTAGCATCTTATAAGTAATGGTTCATTCTATCTGTCTGTTGGTCTGTAGATTCTATGAGATTTAATTCAGTGTTTCATGCTATCCTTTTACTAAATTATATCCCTAATGAAACTTACAAATATATAATATACCGAGTTTTTAACTTAGTCTCCAATTCTGACATATACATATACATATACATATACATATACATATACATATACATATACATATACATAATATACACATGACTTAGAGTTTACCAGTAGGCCAAATACTCACAGAACAATTGTTCTCAAATTTTTATTGTAAATCAGAGTCACTTATGGAGTTTGTTTAAAAAGAAAATCATCTGCCTAGGTCACCCCCAGAGATTTCCATTCAGCATATTTGGGGTGAGGTCAGGCCACTGTATTTTTAACAAGCTAAGCAAGGGCTTTTTGATTCACACTGTTTTAGCAGACACTTTTTAAACTTTTCTAAGTGAATTTAGAAGATAAAATTAGATTTAAATTCTGGCTTTTTAAGCAAAATCTGGTTTTATTTTCTTTGTCATCTTCAGGCAAGTAGAGCCTATTAATGATACTTCAAATTATTTTAAGACCTTTTGAAATATTCCCCCCTTATCCTATTTCATACACAATATTCCACTTTGAATTCCTTGAGTGTATCAAGTCCCTTTCTCCTTCTGGGTCTCTGAAATTGAGATTCTTTCTTCCCTATAAAGTCTACCCTCAGTTCTATATGGCTGTCATTATCCACCAATTAGGGTTCTCCCTATGTTATCTTTTCATTTCCTCCGTGAGGCCTTTTGTTCTGTTGGTTATAGGTTTGCTTGTTAGTAGGAAGTCTCAAAATTTACATATGACTTTACATGCTGCTAGAATTCAAGGCCCCTTTGAAGGTAGATCTTGTTTTCTATTACTAACGTTGTATCCCAAGTACAGAACACACTGCCTGGTATAAAGCGGGTCTCAAAAAGTATTATTTAATGTATTCATTCCTGGACAAATCATTCATTAGCCTTTCAATTTTTTTCCTTTGTTTGTGATTTTGCTACACAACTCAGAGATTAAAAATCTGAACATTACTTTAAAGTTAACCCATGCTTATCTCATTTCTTAAGTTAGAAACCCCAAACCAATCAGGTTTAGAAACTTGCCATGCCCCATAAAGTCTATAATTGGTATCAGATTAAAGCCCAGCACAGTCTAGCGATTGGTCCATTATTTGTTCCCTTACCCTAAATTATTGTTCAAAACTAGATACTGTGTCTCTCATAGCAATTATATTTACTAACTTCACACGGCAGTTATCACATATAAAAAATGATGGGCTTAGGTGTTTTTTTTTAAGGGGGGGGAATGTTCTACACTGTATTTCTGTTTTTTAAGATTTTCATTATTGTGTTATGTTTTACCTCCTCCCCATCGCAGGCATCTTGCTAAGTCATTGCCGGTCCCAAGAGGCAGAATAGCAACTGGAGGATGCTTGACAACATTAGCCTTTTCTGTGGAATAGAAAAATAAAGATAAAATAAAATTTTCATCACAGATGGAAAAACAGTAAATAAGACAGATTGGCATGAGGCTTCCCACTAGGTACTTACAAGCAGGAAAAGTGATATTTTATAGCTATATACAATTATAAATTAAGATTAATTTGTGTGTATTTACAGCACTTTATGAAACACAAACAAATACCATAATTTACAAAGTGGTGGGAATTTTCAGGACTTAGGCCCGAATAAAGCCTTTTAAAATTTTAACTCAGTTAAAAATTATGGTGGGTTTGATTTAACATCATTGAAATTCTCAAGGATTCAGGTATATGCATCATAGGAATATACTAGAGGGCTATCATCAGAGTGGAGGTGAGCATTTCTGTAAAAAGTCCTTTTGCACACCAACTCTAGGTATATTTCACTTTAAGGAATAAAATGTTTCAAAAAATCAAACTCTAGAAGCTAGTAAAATGTTAAAAGTGTTTCACTGTGTTATTCCTACCCATGGTGCTGCTTTGGGTCAGAGTAAACAACATAAGAACTGGGTAATTCTGAGATCAGCAGGGTTCTTTGAGATTAAGGTTTACAGAACATAGTGCTTTGGGTTCAGAACAGTAAAGATCTCTGCCATCAAAATTCCACATAGTTTTGTGTAAACCATCATATGCCTTTGATGACTCTCACAAACATATATTACTTTTCTTTATTTTTTCTACCTGCTCAGCCCTCAAAGTGAGTATGTGTCTGTGTGAAGAGTGTGGAGACAACAGATTATTTAGGGATGGATATGCCCCAGTGTAGTCAGTGAGGCTTAGATTTGGGAGGCTAAAACAAACTCACAATATCGTACTGTTTTCACTAACATTCTTACAAGATCTCCGGCTCTATTCAAGCAGCTCTAATTTCTGCAGTTTGTGAATTCTGATTTTCTCCTTAGATAATGCACATTATACTATTTACATCTTTTATTGAAAGGCCCAAGAACACAGTTTTCAGTGTTTCTTAAAAAAAAATGGACTAAAGTCATGAGATGTTTACCAAAAGTGTATTGACAACATGCATTCACTTTTAATTTGAATACTTTTGTGTGTATGAAAAGATAGAATATTTTCACCTGCATTAACTAAATCAAAGTTTGCTTCAATTTACATAGACAGCAAAACTTCTTTTGAACCAACTATTTCCCTTTGGTGAAGGGCCCGTTTTTAACAAAGAATTGTTCAATGTAGTAGCTGAAATGAGAACTAAAGAAATGGATATTTGTTTGGCATTTATCTCCTGTTAAAGGCCGGTACATGATCATTTTACTTACTTGTAATGAGTTGTGACATCTGACTGTCTCTGAAAAACTAGATAATTTTTCTGAACCATCAAGCTTTTGGGATTCATGTCTGCTTTTGATCCTCAGTCATGTATCTGCTTTGTTTGCTTATTTAAAAAAGATGTTTTAAAAGTTTAAATAGAGAAGCAATATAAAATAAGGTTACGCGTGAGCTCGAATCCTAGGTCTATCAATTCACAGCTCTTAAAACGTTGTTCTAATTATTTAACTTCTCCATATATTAAAGCCTCTCTCTATAAAATGGGATTATCAATACTATGTCAAAAAGTTGTGAGAATGAGGATGGATGGGGTAAAAATATTAGCACAAGGTCTATGAGATAGTTCATGATAAATAAAAAATAGCTATGGTAATAATAATGATTGATGCATGTGATATGAATGTAAACAGGGTAAGGTTTCGAGGCTCCATGCTTCAATGAAATAAGTACATCTATTTGGCACACATTTTATCACAAATGCTAAGATGCTCTTTGGCTCCCTCTTCGGGGCAAAGAAAGAAATGGAATTTGTAAAGCCTGATTTGAAAATAGCTCTGAGGATTTAGGAAATTCCAAGAGAAATGGATTTAAAAAAGAAGGATTTCTATATAGAAATTGCAAATTATTTTACCAATTAAAATTTCTAAATGTAGAAAATACATTAAGCCAGTAAATAACGTGCAACATGCCAGATATCCGATTATACCACCGTAGCACTCAAAGATATCAATGCATTAAATAACATAAAAAAAATATAAAGAATTTTCGGTTGCCAGTCTCACCCCAGTGCATTAAATATGTGTCTTCATTACCTATGCAGTCCAAAATCCATCCCACGGTTCCATCTCCACCACAGGCTAACACTCTGAAATCAGGAACATCACGGAAAAAGTTTAACCTGAAAAATAAGCATGTAATGGCACATGATTGATACTTTAAAATTAGGACTTGTAAAGTTTTGTATTCTTAGCATTTTGTCTAATGACAAACATTTTTAGTTTATGAAAACTGTCAGATAACATCAATGATCTTATTGAAAAATATTCAATAACTATCTAGAATAAAATTCTAAAATAAAAGAACATCTCGATTTACACATATTTTAATTGTATATTCTAGATTCATCAACTTTTAAGTTTACAAAAACAAAACTAAGACATTATAATTTTTATTAAAATATCCTCTCATATTTGATCTGCAACTCACAAATAATCCAAAGTGACAAACATTATAGTATTTAATTCAATAATTTTCATTAATGAAAAATGCTCTTTTGAATCATTATATAAATATAACTATTATGCCAGCAAATATATTTTTGAGAGTTTTCAGCCTTTCCACCACTGGAAGAAATCGATCACATTGCTTTTGGGGTTCTGTTTCCTTTGACTTAGAATTTGCAAATAGGAGGCTTCCCCTCGGCTATTGACACGGCCCTCTGTGTTTGCTACTGGGAACACTCAAGCTGAATTGCTGGGTGGGCTGCAATACATGACCATAGCTTCTGTTGCTAATGCAAAGAGCATCTGCTTGTTAAAGAAACCCACCTTGGGGAAAGCTAAAAAGGCAGGTATCGCAGGCAGTTATACAATTGTATATGCCTATTTTCTTGCAACAAAAATAAATAAATAAATAAATAACTGAAACAAGACAGAAATATGTGGAATGTGTCTGTTTATCTCCCTTACCCAGGGGTAACCAACTGGTAGTAATATAATATTCAATCTTCCAGGAAATTTTTCTATATATTTACATATGTGAATGTACACATATGAGCATTATTATTCACATATTTTTAACGTGAATGGGATTATGCTATACATCCTGTTAATGTATTTGTGTCCATTTTTTATTTAAAAATGTGCAAGAGATCCTGCCATGTCAGCTCATATAGGGTTGCATCATGATTTATAATAAGTGAATGCATTATATAAGGTATACACTCTATGATCAAATAAACCATTTCCCTTCAGGTACTTTTAAACTATTTCTAGTGTTTCACTAATACAAAAAATAGGTATTATACTTAATACTATTTGAAGTACGTTTATGTGAACATGTGCATGTTTTGGAAGGCTAATCTTCTAGAAGAGAAATGTTCCAGTATACCATCATATTACTCTCTGAACAGCTCCCGCTATGAAAGATGTAAATATCGAAATCCTTCAACTTCAAAACACTGTAGGTAAACAACTTGAGGATATTTCTTTAGTAATAGTGAAAAATAGAATTATGCTATTATTGTCAAATCACATATCCCTGCTTGCTAGTGGATTGAGCATATTTCTGTAGGTTTACACTTGTGTGATCTCTTCTGTGGACTGCATCTGCAAACCCTCGTCATCTTTTCCACTGAGTTGTCTTTTATTATTATCTTATGAACTCCACATATTATGAATGCTGTGTCTCATTCAAATTAGCATTATTACAAAAACAGTTTGTTAAAGTAATACAAACAGTGCGTAAATATAATAGAAATGTATAAAAATTTACTAAAACCCCACCATCGGATAATTAGAGCCATTAATATTTAGAACATGAAACTTCCAAGTATTTTCTTAGGTATTATATTGTGGATATAATGTTAGACATGTTGCAATATTTTCTTAGAGACTATTTCCCATTTGTTTGCTCATATTATGTATAGCATAATATTATGCATAATTTAAGCACCTATGTACTAATTGCCCACCCCAAGGGAAGAACATTCCTAATAACTTACATAGACCTCTGTGGTCTTTCTTCCTCATACACAAAGGTGAGCACTATTCTGAATTCTTAGTCATTATGTGCATGCCATAGACAACATATTGTTCACTTTTTGCTTTTTCCACGTAGCATTATTACTAAGATTCATTCATGTGATAGCTGAAGTTATCTTCATGTATAGTTGAAATTATTTAATTTCTATTGGTAAATATCATTTAGGTGAATGTACCTTTTGAAATCCACGTCAGTGGACATTTGGATTGGCTCATTTATGTTCTTACAAAAACTGTACTGGACATATTCCTAGGTTTCGTGGACAGTTGCTACTTTCAGAGTAGGATATACTTATATGCAACTCTAGTTTCCCAAAGAAGTCTTACCAGTGCATGCATCCATTCACAGTATAGATAAAATTTGGCTGAACCCATTCTAACACTTATAATGTCACACTTCTTAATTTCATGCATTTCCTCTTTTGTGAAATGGTTATTCATGACTTTTATTTCTTTACTCCTTTGTCTCTTGTTGATTTGTAAAAAAAAGTCTTTAATTGTTCTTAATTTTGATGCTTTTTTTTGCAACTATCTTCTATAAGTTGTTTTTTTTTTTTTTTTTTTTTTTTACTTTAATGTGTATTTTAATACACAAGATTTTAATGCATTCAAATTCATCAATCTTTTCATAAGTGGTTAGCCCTTTGGCCTATATTGTGTAACAAAAGTTTGCTTACTTGGAGGTCTGAAGATAATTCATATATAATCTTTTTTAAAATTTCAGTTTTGCTTTTGACGATTCTTTGTGGCGGTACGAGGTAGGGATCCCTTTATTCACTTCCTGTTCTCTCCCTTTCTCCCTCCCTCCATCCTCTCTTTCTTTTTGTCTCTTTCTTTCTCCCTTCCTTCCGTCTATCTTTCCTTGTGGCTCTTGTGCACCAATTTTTCTCTCTTCTTTGTTCTTTTTATTTATTGAATAATTCCACTTCCTAGCTCCACCATAAATCAGATTTCTATACATGAGTACATTTCTTTTTGAACTGTTTTATTTTATTCATAAATTTGTCCATCCCTCAACCAGTACCACATTCTTTTAATTCCTTAAGTAATTTTATAATAAGTCTGTATCTCATAGAGTGTAAAGAATCTAGGCTATTATCCCTTCTTTGCTTTTCTATATACATTTTAAAGTTAACTTGTCCTATTCCACACACACAAAATAACAAACAAAACCAATTATGATTTTGAACAAAGTAACATTCAGCCTATAGATCAATTTTGGGAGAATTAACGTTTGTATAATGTAGTGAAGTTTCCTCATCCATGATACAGCATGTTTGATTTATTTTAGATATTGCTTAGTGTCCTTCAATAAAGCTTTTAATTTTCTGCTTCCAGGTCTTGCATATGTGTTATTAGGTTTATTCTTGGTTGTTTTATAGTTTGTGTTGGTATACTAAATATTACTAAAATAGTTTATTACTGATGTTTTGTTGCTGGTATAAGAAAATATATTTGACTTTTATATTTTGATCTTGCAAAGAGCCACATTACTCGTGTGGTTTCTATTGCCTATATTTTGTAGATTCACTTGGATTTCTATGTAAATAATTGTATGATATGCTGATAATAATGGTACTATTAGTGACCTCCAATCTTTCTAATTGTTATTTCTTTTCAAGCTGTCCAGAGCTCTAATATATCGCTGAACTGGGATATTCATAGAGAACACCCACATTTTTTTCCTAAATTTAAGCGGAATATTTCTGTATTTTCCCCCACTTAATATGATGTTTTTGTACAGATTTTCTTATTTTCTTCTTTTTTGAATGACACCTTTTATAAGGTTCATAAAATTTCCTTCTATTCCTGTTATAGTAGGGTTTTTTTATTATGAGTAAATGTTTAAATTTTTTCTGCATCTTTTGAGATATTGATATGGTTGATCTCATTTAATCAGTAATGTAGGGATACACATTAGGTATTTTTGCATTATTAAAATACCCTTACAGTACTTTATATACCCAAATTGGATATTGTTTATTACTATTTTGTAGAGAACTGGATTTAGTTTGCTAATGTTTTCCTTAGACATTTTGAATCTATATTCATCAAAACAGACTTACTATTTTTCTTCCTCCTACCCTCTCTGTCTAATTTTTGTCAAAATTATTCATAACTCATAAAATTAGTTCTAGAATATGCCTTCATTTTCATTTTTTTGGAAGCATCTGTACAATTTCTGGAAGGTAGCACTTGCATATAAACTATCCAATTTCTGGTGAGTCTTTATCTCTTTCTTTTTTATATAATTTTTTCAATTCCTTTAATAATTATTGAACACAATTTCTATTTTTAATACTCCCTAAATCAGTTTTTGCCATAATATACCCTATTAATTTGTTTATCTCCTAAATTTTCAAACATTGACTCACTGAAGCGTAGAAAAGTTTTTCAAAATATGCTGGCAGATGAAAAGTTTACTGTAGAGCTAATTGTTTCTGGTGAAAGCCTAACCATCCATTTGACTCACCATTGTTCTTCTACTCCATGATGATGTTTCATCTGTTATTCATTCTTGTTTCTTTTAAAATTGTCATCATTGGTTCTTCAGCAGCATCCTACCCCCAAACATAAACCCCATGTGACTGTCAGACCAGCTTACTCTCTGTAAATAGACTGCTAAATGGATTGAAAAATTGACCTCTCTATCTCAGCCTCTTCTTCCACTCAATCCATGCTGTTTTCCCTAGAGATTCATTCATTCCTTATTTCACTCATTCACTGAATAGTGGCCTTGGAAAATTATTTAATCATTCTGAGCCTCAGTTTCCTTTCTTTAAAATGAAGTTAATAACATTTGCTTCATTGGGCTGTCTTAAGAAACAAACAATATGTATATGTAAATTATATTGTACTATCCACAGGTTATTACTGATTCAATCATTTTCCCTTCATTAAAAGTAGTATATATGTTTTATAGGTCAGAGTGTCATGCCTTTATTTCCACCCCTCCCTCTCCCTCAGTGTTCTGGTAAAATCATCACAGGGAGAACTTACTACCAAGCAAACCTGGATGGACAATGAGAAGTTTTCCTACCTCCAATCTGAAACTGTGGCCGATGAACTACAGGGAGGCCTACTTATGGCATTACGGCCAGAACGTGCAGAGAAAAACAGGTCTGAGTGAGAACAA